TGTTACTGTTCACATCTGAATACTGTTACTGAGCACATCTGTTTACATCTGTACACTGTTACTGTTCACATCTGAATACTGTTACTGAGCACATCTGTTTACATCTGTACACTGTTACTGTTCACATCTGAATACTGTTACTGATCACATCTGTTTACATCTGTACACTGTTACTGTTCACATCTGAATACTGTTACTGATCACATCTGTTTACATCTGTACACTGTTACTGTTCACATCTGAATACTGTTACTGAGCACATCTGTACACTGTTATTGTTCACATCTGAATACTGTTACTGAGCACATCTGTTTACATCTGTACACTATTACTGTTCACATCTGAATACTGTTACTGAGCACATCTGCTTACATCTGTACACTGTTACTGTTCACATCTGCTTACATCTGTACAGTTACTGTTCACATCTGCTTATAGATAGTCTGACATAAATTCTTCCCATGCATCTGTACTTATAGAAATGGGACATAAAATATCATTACATTGACAATTAACTTTGTAGACCATTCAGCCGTGACATGGCTGTGTGGGCTATTAATGCAGGGAAGTCAGACTGAAGCTGTGCTGATTCTGCAAACCCTTATCTCACACCGACCAAACCTTGTGGTCTGCAGCTAATTGCAACAATGCAGTAAATATGATTTGAAGTAATTCATGCTTAGTAGCCTTGTTTTCATAAACATATAAACTTGAATAAGATATTTCCCCCATGCTTATCAAAAAAATCTATTAAATTTGCTTAGTTTAGAGATTGACTTAACAACATGCTTTTGGACTGGGAACTGAGACTGCAGTACCCAGCACGCCATGCAGCGGCAGAATGTGCATCCCCGAGCGCGTGAAACACCCCGGCTACCCACCATGCACCATCGCCCCTATGAGTTACTGCTCATATAAAAGCAACATATTTCTGCTGAACATATGATCTGAATAAGTTATTCGCCACTGACAAATTCACAATGTGAATTTTGTAAACAAAAATTTAGGTTGCATTGGCATTCTTCTTCATATAGTTAAAACGAATAAAGGAAGGATTGAAATAAAAACAAATGAATTCTATTTACAAAACACTTCCAAAATACAGACGCAAATTAGATATATAGTTCTTGGAAAATATAACTACACTTTAAGGTACCACAGTTTAACTACATTTTTATTTTATGTGATAGCAGATATAAAAGAGATGTGATTTAGCGTAAAAACTTGGGCGCAGTATTCTCGTCAGACAGAATTATTGTTACATTGATTCCCCGACGGTTGATTACTAATTGAGCAACAAAATAAACGAAAGGGAAACCATCTGAAGTTCCTTCAGTAATTTCTCGCTCAGTGCGATTTCCGTCTTTAAAGGGCTCCGTCGCGCTTTACGATTGTCGTTCTTTCTGATGGTATTTCCTGATTCCATCATTTTAAGATTAGGGCTTCATTGAAAAACCAAGATCTTAAAACAACTAAGATTATCTTCGCCTGCTAAACGGCTAAATCTGTAATAGGGAAGTAGGCAGTAGCGTTTTAAGTTCTGAGTCCATGGCCACTCCTTACGAGACGTTGGACGTTTTCCCCTTTTATGCTCCTATGTGTCCAGGAAGCCACAAACATCGTTGCCTGTAACTGCGACGGAATCCCGCATGGATTTCAATTCTGTCAACCGGCGTGAGTTTTATATCGGTCTGAGCCTGGCGATCAGCTCCAGCGTCTTCATCGGCGGGAGCTTCATCCTGAAGAAGAAGGGTCTGCTGCGGTTAGCGGGCACGGGCTCCACCAGAGCAGGTACGGTGTCTAAAACGTTTCTGATATTTTGTTTTCCTTCGTATTATTAAACCTAAGTTGTTCTGCTTAGCAATTCCCAAATGGACGTAACTTTCTCTTTTCTTAGGGTCAGGTGGCCATGCCTACCTAAAGGAATGGTTATGGTGGGCAGGACTTATATCAAGTAAGTGTTTTATTACAGTCTGTTGTGTTGACACTTAATGCTACTACTGCTACTCCGTTGCAGGTTTTTTTTAACAATCGGAAAGGATATATCACACGGTGTGATTTTTATGCGGTGCCTTCTGGCCTGAGTTGTCTTCTATTAAAGCGCTATTGGTTTCATTTTTTCAGTGGGCTTAGGAGAAGCTGCAAACTTTGCTGCCTACGCTTTTGCGCCTGCAACACTGGTTACACCATTAGGAGCACTGAGTGTTTTGGTGAGGTAATTGAAATCATTTTATTCTGGATATGTGTGGAGGGCTTGCTTTGTTACAGCATGCATTATTGTGTTAAGAAACAATATGAACAGTTGGAAGGTAGCATGAGAAATCTGAATTTGTGATTTGGTACTGATGGAATCTGATGCTTGATTCCCTTTTCTCCTTCAGTGCTGTACTGTCATCCTATTTTCTGAACGAGAGGCTGAACGTTCATGGGAAGATTGGTTGCTTGATGTGCATCCTGGGATCAACAGTGATGGTCATACATGCCCCACAGGAAGAGGAAGTCGCGTCCTTAAGAGCAATGGCAGAGAAACTTAAAGATCCAGGTATAGCACTTTTACACAAAAACAACAACAAATTTATTTTTGTATAGCGCATTATCACATTACATCGTCTCAAAGCGCTTTACAGCATCCCCACCCAAAGCCCCCAGTGAGTAAGCCATAGGCGACACAGTGACATATTAATGATTTTCAGTTTATTCGGTGAGTTGATTGAATTACAGTTCTGCAAATTGAAACCTTATTTAAGATTGAATAAAAGCTCCTTAATAAATCCTAAAATGAGAATCGCAAATATGCCCTGTTAATAGCAGTGCTTAATTAGCAAGCTCTGAGGTGACGGAGCTCATAAAGAACACAGTGACCAACTGCGAATCGTTATATGAGAAGGCGGAGCGTAATGACTTTAAATGACATCACACACACAACTATAATGTGCTGTTAATTACTTAAACACATAACAATGCAATATTTTCTATTGACATCTATTAGTTACATTAAACTGTATAGGACAGAGGTACCCTACTAGACGAGCTTAATGGTCCAGATGAGCTTAATGCGTGTGGTGTGTTTTTTCTCTTTTAAATCAACAGTCAGATAAGCACAACATGCTAATTTAGGGGGATGTATGTTAAAAAAAAAATCATACAACTGATTTTATCAGTAAACATTTCTTTAATTTGCTTATTGTTCCACAATTTAACTCGGTTTTGAGTGCAATTATACTGGGTGCAGCGTCTGAGGGCAAGCTGCTCTCCAAGGGCTACAACCCCCCCACCCCCCCATAATTTACACCCATGCTGCTCTCAGACCGACGTCATGGTCACACATTAAGCTCTGGGTAACAGTGTAAGTTGGTAGTTTTCTATGACAATGTTGAAATGAGTATTTTGTCTCTCTTTCTTTTTTTACAGGTTTCATTGCATTTGCTGTGTGCATAGTGGTGAGCAGCCTTGTCCTCATCTTCTTGGTCGCACCCCATTACGGGCAGAAGAACGTTCTAGTATACATTGTGATTTGCTCAATCATTGGTTCCTTATCGGTCTCCTGTGTGAAGGGCCTCGGCCTTGGCATTAAGGAGTTCTTTGCTGGGACTGCAGTGCTAAAGGACCCCTTGTTCTGGGTCCTACTGGTGAGCCTGGTGGTCTGTGTCAGTGCGCAGATCAACTACTTGAACAAGGCTCTGGACATTTTTAACACGTCCATCGTCACACCCATCTACTACGTCATTTTCACCACGGCTGTCATGGCCTGCTCTGCCATCCTTTTCAAGGAATGGCTCCACATGTCAGCAGATGGAGCGCTGGGTACCGTCAGTGGCTTCCTTACCATCATCCTGGGCATCTTCCTTCTCCATGCCTTTAAAGACATCACCTTCACCTGGGATAGTCTGCCGATGTTCCTGCGCCCTCAGAGTTCGCACTGGGGCCAGCCTTACATGCCTCTGGATAGTCAGGAGATGCCTGTTGACAAAAATGCACTTCCTGCAAGAAAATGGGTCACGAAAGGAATATCTCCAGAGTGCTCTATCTGAAACATACAGCGTCATTCCTACTGAAGAAATTGCGGGGGAAAAAAATCTTTCATAATATTGAATTAACAGGAAGGATTACGTGCCTTATAGTGTAACTTTAAAGACTATAGTCTGAAGTGTTGGTAAGATACATTTGGTAGATTGAAAATGTAAAAATTAATCATTGTGGAAATCCTAAATTTTGTTCTACTTTTTAATATATGAATTTTCTAGTTTCCTATTAACATTTGATATTCTGATTGAAAAAGAATTGCAATCATGTAAATGAAAAGTCAACATTTATTTTAATTTTAAAACAAACTTCAGTAGGTTGATAGCAGAAAAAGCAGGTTGTGCAGATGATTTATTTAGCAGATTTGATTTTTTTAAAACGTGGAAAACTACTTCTGTCAAGAAATTTTTACAAGATATATTTGTTTTAGAAATTATTTTTGCATTTAACAATGACAGATACAATCCTCTCTGTGTACTGGGGTCCTGGCTCTGAATCCACAACCACATTTGTTCCATGTGTTTAACATGTGCTACTATTTATTAAGAAAATGTAATGCTACTTTTTTTTTTTTTTTTTTAAATAAAATATGTTACCACTAAAAACTGAGACCCAAAGTTTGTTTTGACACAAATAAAGTGACACAAAAACTACCCAAGGAGGACAGGAAATTGGGTTTTCTGTATTTTTCCATTATCAATTCAGATTTGCAGTTGAACAAACAGCATTTATGGCCGCTAAGCTTGTTCTTGGCTTTGTAAGTATCGAGCTCCAGTGGCCACTGCAGCCTGATGTTCGTCTGACAGTCTGTGTTCTCCATACAGACAAAAGGACACTTCCCCATCTCCAATCAGCAATAACCGACTCCCTATAACGAGAGAAGCATATGCTGCAGAGGGGAAAGTAATGACCAAGTAGGGCTCGTAAGGAAGGCTCCTTCTGAAGTAGGGGAAGAGGCACTAGAAGATCAAATATTGCTTTTATTTCCCTCTTGCGCCCCCCCCCGGCACGTTAGCAACAACTCGACTGCCGCAGTTCAGTGCTCGACGGGAGTCTGCATTGATCTCATGTCCGTTTTCTGGGCCAGCTGGGCTAGTCAGACAAAGTCTCTGAGAAGGAGCTTCGACTCCTCTGGGTCTGCTCCAGTCTGTTTAGTATGAATTGACTTGTATCGATGAATCGCTCAACACAATTCACAAAACATGTTTCCGTCCTGGAGTCCAGCTTAGGCCCAGGCTTATCCATGCATTTATCCTGCACAAAAAAAGAAAAAAACATTTTTTTATTTAATGATCAGTGGTCATTGTCAACACACCACAGCACACAACAACGAAATGTGTCCTCTGCATTTAACCCATATGTCACTTTTCGTGACATAGCAGGGGGCAGCTAATTCAGCACCCGGGGAGCAGTGCTTGGGGGCGGTACCTTGCTCAGGGTACCTCAGTGGTGCCTTGCTGGTCGGGGATTTGAACCTGCAATCTTTCAATTACAAGTGCGCTTCCTTAACCATCAAGCCACCACTGCCCACTGCCCATCAAGGTAGTTATTAAATACCAGTGTTGTTAGTGTAGTGTTTAATCTTAATTAAAGATAAATTAATGAACATATGTGACAAACTTAACTTATGTCATAACAGCATAAGTTCAACGTCACCGGTTCATGAAGCGTCGTATAAGTGTGATGCTTTACATCAACCAGAAAGAGGTTCATTTTAAATAGGTACTAGCATAACATAATACAAACATAATATTCACATAACATAATAACAGGATGCATAAAGCAGACATGTATGGCAAGTTACAGTAGTATATGCTTTTCTCAAGCGCTAACTTACCCAGCACATTTCTGTCATCTGGTGCACGAGCTGTTGAAACCTTTGTTTCTGTGATTCTACTTCTATAAACTGCTGAAGCTGAGGATCCGCTGCAGCTCCTTGATTATCCATTTTCACGCCGAACTCACAAAACCCAAAACAACCATTCAAATGAAGCAGACAGCACACGTTGCTGACCTTCACCTGCGCTGGCGAGTGGGAAACCTTCAATGGTTTCCGGAAGCGGAAGGGACGCAGTTCGGTCACACAGTGAAGTGTTTCCGTTTTTCAGCGGCATTTATTTTTTGAGACTGAAATTAAATAGCACATGAATTAAACTAACTTTCATTTTTGGATAAAACAGTGGCTAGTTCGGAAATCGCTGAAACAACGGACCAACATATTTGAGTGCTTTAACGTTGGCGTTACTTTTTAAATACAAATAATTTATTTTTAAAATATTTCTTTTCAAAAATGTCACGGGCCATATTGTGTTGGTCACGGGAAATCAATCACTGTTAAAAGTACTCCCGCGCTGTTAGTCAAGTTGCTGTTGGGGCAGTTACTGTAGGGCTAGGGTTAGATAGAGCTATGTATCTGGGTTGGTCGTTTTATTTATTTTTCATGAGGAAGTTGCATAAACGTACACGCAGACAGATTAGGTATTGATCTTTGCGGGGGCTCTCCATTGATTTCTACGGGCATAACCCTATTCCCTATTTTGACAACCTTAATCCCTACCCAGCCCTAACCTTACCTATATGTAACCAAACAAAATGTAAGACTTGTCGCATTTTTAGAAGCAGGAATGTAATATATATATATGACCGCAGATAGACGCACGCACTACCAGAGCTGTGTCAGAACACTTATCACGGAGTGGGGGGGGTACAAACAAAATGAAAACAATAGCTGTTGATTCAGTTGTGTTTCTAAAGTCATTGTATCAAATTGCACGAGCTTTTTATTCTGCAAACAAGTCAGTGCATTTAGTGGGGTGTTTCATTAGGTGCCGTAATTGTGGCAACAATAGAACAATGTGTTACAATTAAAAAGAAAATGTGCTTTTGATTACTTAAGTATTTTTTAAATTAAGTACTCCAGTACTTTAACTCAAGTAAAAATTTGACTGAGCAAATTTCACTTGTATTTGATCAATCTTTCACCAGGGGTTTCTATACATTGACTCAAGTAATGGAGTTGTATATTTTGTCCACCTCTAATGATAAATGCCAGCAGCCATACCACCTGCAGGTCAGTGCAGGTAGTACAGGTCTGTGTGGATCCCAATGCCCCAGTGCAGTGATGGGGACCCTCTGTAAAAGTGGTGCCGTCCTTCGGATGAGACATAAAACTGAGGTCCTGACTCTCTGAGGTCATGAAAGATCTCTGGGCATCATTCAAACGAGTAGGGGGTGGTACGCCCTGATGTCCTGGCTAATATTGCCTACTGAGACCCATTTAAATCTGGTCTTCTAATCATGCCCTATATCTAATTGGTGAAATCTCCCCTGCCCCTTCAGCACCTTAGCCACAGTGTGATGAGCGTACTGGCGCAGAATGGCTGCTGTCACATCACCTAGGTGTGTGCTAGACAGTGGTGGTGGGTTCATGTGTTGCCCCGTTGGTTCTGTAAAGTGCTATATAAATGTAGCTTTCATTCATTCAAGTGAATGGCAAAACAAATCTGCCTAATAAGACCAATCATTTTGTGGATGATGTAATAGGCTGCTGGTTCAAATGCCATGCATAGAAGAATGACATCACTGGTGGACCCTTGGGTAAAGCCCTTAACCTCACATAATCCAGGGATTTACTGACCTTTGTACATCATTTCTCTTGAAGCTCAAAGACCTGATTGTGTGAATTGGCATCTATAAATGGCCCATAGTGTTCATCTGTGTGCTTTGCATTGAACTAGCATCCTGTGCAGAATGTTTCCCGGCTTCGTGTGCTTGTCTGTCTGAGATCGGCTCAAGGCCAATGCCAACCAGGGGTGCGTTTCCCGAATGCATTGTTTGATAACTACGTTAGCAACTTGCCTGGCTGGAACTACTGTACGTAGGTGTTTCCCGAAACCATTTTCGAACTACGGTAATGATGCTGCAAAATTTCACAGTACGATCCATCGTTAAACGACATAGGTCTTTCCCCAAACCCATAGTTCGAACGAAAGTTCGCCAACATTGTCACTAAGTTGTGTAGTTCGAACTACAGCCATCGAGCTGTAGCTAGAAGCTTAGTACCGAGTGGCTGTGTCATTGATGGTGAAAAATGCAGTCGAAGGATGGTAGACAACATCAGAGTAAGTTGAAAATATTAGTCTTGCTGTACAAACATCTATTATGTCAAGGGCTTTGAAACTGTAGTTGTAAGAGTACTTTTTATATACTTCTCTGTTCATAAGTATGGCATGATTGGAGCGGATGTTGTTTACTCACTTTGTCTGTGATATATGGTAAAATGCATTACATAGATAAATATATATTTAGGGTGTAATGTATTTGGAATGAACCTGACGCGCACCTGCAGCCTAGCGATCCGCCATCTTTATTGTAGTCAGTCGGTCTACTGCGGAAACCCAGCACACACAATACAAACCGTGCTTTCGCCACATTAATTACTGCTGCCAGTAGATGGCAGTACATTACACAGGGCTTCACGATTATGACATTGCAATATCACATCGAGTAATATTGCGATATTTTTAAAACCAAAAGGGAGATGAAATTACCCAAAATTAATTATTACCAAATAGAACATATCTAAACAGTGTGTCTAGCAAGTTGGTGGTGGTGTGTCAAGTGCCGACAAATGCGATATGATTATTATATGCACGCGGACATTGCGATGACGATGCTGAAACGATTTATCCTTCAGTGCTTAGGCACACACAGTATTAAATAGGAAAAACATGGGGAAAGCAAATGAAACACGGGCAAATGTATGGCTAAAAAGAATCAATCACTATTTAATCACTGAGATCTTTCATATATTTAAAAATAATATTAAGAAGTTTATTAATATTATTACGAAGTTTATTTATTACAAAATGAGTTTTTGTACATGACCCGTCGTGAGAGTCAGACCAATCACCGCTGGAACGATTGTAGTTCGAACTCCGGTGGTTTGAACTAACGTGGTTCAAACTACTGTGGTACTAACAAAGCACGACGGTTTTGGGAAATCTGTCAAATTTCGGAAGTTCGTTTGAACTAACATATTACGATGCATCGTTAATGGTAACTTCGGTCGCTGTTCGGGAAACGCACCCCTGGAGAAGCGCATGGAAGATTCATGGAAGCATTCAATAGAGGTGGATTTCAATGTGGGCTATAAACATTTTGCAAGTTAATTTTAGGGTTCAGTGAGTAGAAGAGAAATGAATTTAATCCAACAGCTGGTAATCTTTCAACATGCTTTCACAGAATGGACACATGGCACAAGACAATGAAAGGATAAGTCTTCAAATTTTGAATTATACAATATAAATTCAATTAGGGTGTCACCAAGAATGATATCAGACTGAGGAATCATCTTGTGTTCCCCTTCTTGGAATCACACATACATATCTAGACATAGCCTACAAAGTGACACTTTTTGAATATTTAAAACAACAACATATAAATCTACAGTATAGTTGCATTTCATTTAAAACTTCCTTGTACATTGTTAGAGAAGAATTATTAAGAAAATATTAGTGAAGATGATGGAAAAAGAAATTTAAAATAGACAAGTTCTGTATTATATGAAATATTATGATACTTCAGTTCATAAATTATTCGCACTATACATTCACGGGACACTGTTTTACTATGAATATGTCTGTGTCTGCTTTCCATATGATATTCTTCCTTCTCCAATATATTCATTGGAGATAAACTACTGCTACCATCTTCCGAGTGAAATCATAGCCGAAGATTGGTACAGGCCCCCGCCTTCTGCCTACTGAAGTTCATACAGAAGATCTTGAATAGTAACCACAAGATCTTGAAACGCTGGCCGCTCTTCTGGTTTCTAATAGAAAAAAGGCATAGTAAATGTGAACTAATAGTGGAAGTCTCCCAGTACAGCCTGCACCTGGCTGTTAGCTGTCGGACATTCTCAGCTGCTACCGCAGTAACGATTAACATATTTGGATTTTCTCTTTTTATTTTCTGTAGATAAACTGTACATACAGAGATAAAATATTGATAAAATATTTAGTCCAAGTTTGGTAGTTGGTAGAACATACCTCATGCCAACAGCTCGTCATGATGGTGTAAATCCTGTCATTGGCCATTTGGGGGCGATAGAGACGCAGACCGGTAGATATTTTCTCCACTATTTCTGTGTTACTTAAACGCTCATAAGGCATCCTTCCCAGGGTGTAGATCTCCCACATCAGGACACCTGGAAGAGAAAAAAAAATTATTAAGATCAAAAGTGTTTAACCCTTAGTTACTACCTCCATCAGTTACCGGTCATATGACTTCATGTATTAATCAGCGGCAAGCTTCGATTAAGCTTTTATTGAAATACTTGCTTCCCTTGATTAACTGGGAATTAACAATAATTAATTAGGGCACTGTGCAATTGCTTGAAAATAAGATTAATTGCCCGAAACTAACCAAAGGCCCAGATATCTGACTTGCTGCTGAATCGGCAGTAGAGGAAAACCTCGGGGGGTGACCAGCGCACTGGGAACTTCGATCCTGCGGAGCTGGTGTACTCATCATCCTCTAAAACGTATCTGAAGTAAATGGCAAGATGGACATTCAAATTTCATTAACACAAATTTTGCTTATTTGGGTTCCTGTACTATGCTGAGTACCTTTTCTCACATAGCAGACGAGTCAATTTTACCTTGATAGTCCAAAGTCAGTAACTTTAATGGTCCCATTAGAATCCACCAAACAGTTTCTAGCAGCCTGTAAACAGAGTGATTGTCACTTAATATCATTTCCATTTTCCCCCTCACTTTCATTTTGCCTTGTAAATTTACATGGTCTGCAAATTAAAATATATTCTTACCAAGTCTCTGTGGATATATTGTTTGGATTCCAAATAGGCCATTCCCTCACTCACATCTTTGCACATTTCAAGGAGCTGGATAGGGGACGGATGTTTGAGCGAGTCTCGGAGGTGGTTAAGTAGACACCCATTGGAGAGATACTCAGTTACAATGTAAATGGGTCTCTGCTTGGTGCATACACCGTACAACTGAACCAGGTTTTGATGGTGAAGTTTCCTAATTCAGCCAAAGACAGAACCAGCATCAAATATTATTTATATCTTACATTTCCTATAATCAGATACAATTCTTTTTTAAATGCCTCCATATGGAAAGTGACACTTACATCATAACTTTAGCCTCATCAATGAAATCATCTTCTGACATAGAGCCTTCCTTGATCATCTTGATAGCGACATCATGTTGACCCTGCCATTTTCCGTATTTTACCACACCAAACTGACCATTTCCCAGCTCCTTCAGGAAGGTAAGGTCTCGTGGATCAATCTCCCAGATACCTTTGGCCAAAGAATAGATGGAATCATGAGAGCCAGCGCTGAAGCCTTGCTCACGGTCACACTCTAAATACATTTAAGGACAGTTGCCCAAAAATTCGGTTCATTCATTTATCATCAAGTTAATATGTCAGCCAGTGCTTCAGGCAGCAGTGGAGGAATGCTGGGTAAATTCTCACCGTATCCTAGGCCAGCTCTTGAAGGTGCCTTATCAGCCTTATTGGAAACAATGTGCTTCAACCTACTCACCAAACCTAATATTGAGACACACAAATCAGCCATCATCCTAATGTGTCCTGAGTTTTCAAAAGATACCCTTCTACATCATTTATAATACATTTATTATGCATATAAAATCAAATCATAATATATCATATATTAATTTAAATTATTAGCTGTATTTTTGTTCAAAGAGGATGTCAGATGTCAACTTAGATGTCTCCTAATCTACATTCAGGCACCATATTTATAGTTTGCTACGTGTCAGATAATGAATCTGTATCTAATATATAAATGTGTGGTTATATAAATATGCTAGATGATACGTTGAGTTCTACAGAGAGTGCAGCAATGTCCCCACAATGACGTCTGTGCAAACACCTGCAGCATTATGTTGATGGTAGTTAATGAGCTCCTCAATGCTGGAGAAGTTGTGCTTTTCAGCCAAGTAGAACTGGCCCTGTGGTGTGCTGCAGATGTTGTAGTGTCTGCAGGTGCCCATCGGGTCCCTGGGAGTAAAGGAGAAAAACTGCTCAAGGAGGTGCTGCACGTGTTTATGGCCTTGGGAGTCTGAAAGAGCTGATTCTCATAGAATGTGTCAATTCAGAACAAGATGTAACAGATGCTGCTACCAGTAGCATGACTGATACCCTGGTTGTGTACGGTACAGGAAACCAGTGCAGGATTTGCATGAAGAAATTTACATTTTTCTACCACAGGCAGGCTATGTTCCTGCTGCCTGTTTTCAGTTCTTCCTTTAACACACTTAAGTTATTGTTTCAGTATCTAAGACATGCTACTCTCTAATCAGAGTGCGTCGCACCATAAGTAGAAGATCAGCCAGAACTTACCCTGGAGCTTTGGCGTATAATGACACGGTGTATTTCCCAGTTTTGCTTGAGTCTCGCACTAAAAAACCACCATCTTTGTTCTGTTAGGCGATAATGGTAACACATTTTCATATTTTTTTATATTCAAATGAAAACAGACAATCTTATTAATAATTACAATTGTAATGGCATTATGTTAAACAAAGAATTGTGCTGAAATTGTATTTAGAGCCATAAAGCACTTTTAGTGTTACTTCTAATTACAGACAGATCTCTTAAATATTTACTCAGGATTCACACAAAACAGGGAAACACTTTACCTCTGACATACTTTAATCAAAATAATTACAGAAAATTGTAGAATCTTAACTCTGAAGAAGGGATTGAGTTGTTGCTAATGTATGTCATTGTATCTCTTATTGACACATTCCCAGAGAATTACGGGAAATGCACCATTAGGTCCAGCATTACCTCAGCTTTTAGAAGGTTCTCTGCTTGGCTGCGGTTAATATTCTTGCAATACCATCTGGAGAAAAGAGCAGAAGTTTATGCAATCTCATCGTTAGCCTTCACAAGTGTGGTATTAACAGGAAATCAAAATCATACAACACAATTTTTTTCTGTCTAATTAACAGGCCTGATTTCAGAATTTTGGCATAGTTACTATGGTTGCCATACCTGTGATTGTTGGTATGGTTACCATGGTTGCCATACCTGTGATTGTTGGTATGGTTACCATGGTTGCCATACCTNATGGTTGCCATACCTGTGATTGTTGGTATGGTTACCATGGTTGCCATACCTGTGATTGTTGGTATGGTTACCATGGTTGCCATACCTATAGCTCATCAGTAATAAAATATCTGAAAGTAACATATGGATTGTAGGATATGTGAGTAAGGTAGGTGTATAATGTTCATCACATTACTCTTTGTTTTAATGCTGTGAATTAACCTGACGACAGGACAGCAGTTCACTTCTGTCACTTGACAACAGCATCAGCTATAAACCTAAACCTTATTTTCTCAAAGTATTTGCTTCACGTTTCTGCTGAGTTAGCTTCTCCACACACAATTAATTACCAAAAAATATATATATTCTCATTCTGATCTTTTTTTCCTTCCATGAAGCTGCCTGTAGGAAGGACACCACCGTATGTTTTAGCGTTTCGTATCAGACTAAGAACGAGTGGGTTTCTGTTGTATTCTGAGGTTACTAATGATCCCTCCCTTTTCCCCATATCACAAAGGTCTGTTTGACTTACTGACAAATGCAAATTTTCACATTTACAATGTCTGTATTTCTTGCTGGCTTCCTGAAATGTTTACCCTCATACCAGCAGGGGTGATTTAAAAATGTTCATCTTGCCGGATTGATGCACAAACAAAATCTGTAGGCAATGATTCTGACATCAATTTGTGGTTTATTTAGTGCAGGTGGGATTTAATGCTGTGTCCTAACAAATGCAGTACCTTGTAATGCTATGCTTCAGACATTCCTATTTAACTCTTATTTCAAAAGCTGTTTAGTCTAATAACTATTTAGCCTTGTTCTGAATCCTGCTTTATACTATTATTAGTATTACTGCTTTTATTAATAATCAAACATATCTAAATAGTCACTTAAAAATATTTTTGTTTTCTTCAAAAGATGAAAAATGTACTGACAAGGCTCAATTCAATAAAAATGAGTTTAATTTAAAAAAAATAATTAAAAAAACAAATTCTAATTCAAAATTTTGTTTATCATTTTAGTGAACTACGTCCTCTGCTACATGCATGTCATTCTTTGCTGTCAGTGAGTTACTCCTGTGTTTGAGAAACCAGCTACGTTTTCATTGCTTGTACCCTCTTGCCGTAAAACATAATTTTGTTGTTATTAGATATCTGCCTTTGTTATAATTTAATATATTTATGTAATGATTTTACTTACGCAAACCTCTCAAAACCATGTCCAGCCTCCACAACATAATTACTGGGAATGTATCCTTCATTTCTGGTGAAGAAACAAAGGAACGAGGGATGAAACAAATAGAGGTTAGAAGGTCACACTGAGGGCATGGGCGAGGAGATGGCTTTGAAAAAACTGTGAAAAATCATGATTCACAACTGGTGAAATGGGATTTCTCAGGAGCTCTCTCACCCATGTTTGTCCCTGGCCCTCCACCAGCTGGCATCCACTGCTTCCAGGACGGTGTACTCCTCTCCTGGCCTCAGTGGAAGATCTTGCTTGTTTACTGGGGTGTATTCGTACTCTGCTATGACTGTCATTCCTGAAGAGGGACCTAGCTGTGGGCATGGTGGCTGCGGAGGGGTTGGTTCCTACAAGACGGATTACAGTCCGTAGTTATGCAGCAACTCAGCCTGGAGTCATTACATTCAGGGTTATTTGTTTAGCCAATGTACGAGTGAGGCAGGTAGTACAAATGGCGTCAGAGGCGTACGGCAGTCAAGGGACCAAGCAGGCATGAGAGAGGTGCCAACTAGGCATGTTACACTACAGCTAAAATCTGACAAAAAGACTAACCTCTGCTGGTGTAGGCGGAAGGGGTTTCCTGGATTTACGTCGAGAGGGGTTACCCAAAAGTCCTGCCAGGGAGAGTGGTTATGAAATAGCACTTGAGAATTCAGCCGTCACAGTGCTAATTAAACTGGCGTACAGGTACTATTTTCTGAGGTTTTGTTATACAGTAGGTTTTAGTTCCTTTACATTCTTTTACATTAGTTCCTTTTTGCTACTTTCCATTGTAATGGGATGAATATGTCAAATGTCAGGACAGAGTATGGAATTTGCCTAGTAAAATTAGGGGAAAGGTTTGGAAATTGGATTTAAAATGCTTCTTTTTGAACTCACCCCCATTCTTAGGCTGCAGCACTTGGCACCCCAGGGCCTGTTTGACCCCCTGCTGGCAGCATAACCACATGCCATCCACCCAGAAACAGGGGTGATATTTCTGCGCCAGGTCCTTGTTGAACCGCACCACTAGAACCCGAGACACATGGGCAGTCATTTGCATTTGACCAGGAGCAGAGGTGTCAGCATTTTCTAACTCTTTTGCATATAGACTAAAATTTGCATGGGAGCCTCTAGTTGGACCAGGTGTCCTGAGGGACGCTTCCGACCATCATTCTGTTGGCTTATCAGCACTGACACACTGGCGACTGACGACTAGAATCCCACATCGCTAAAACGTGCAAAGTCACCAACCATGCTTCAGCTGGTGTATCCACAGTCTCCGAACTTCGTCGCTCTTGGCAAAGATATAGAGGGGGCCCTCATCGTAGATGATCTGTTGTGCGGAGGCAAGACACGAGTCATTTTTGGTAGCATCTCTTGGGCTTCTCAGGAAGTGAAGGCTTGCTGTTTATCGCTTCCTAGTTTCTGACAAGTTTCCCAAGACAAGTTTAAAAAAGGAAGCCAAGCTTGACCAGGAAGGAAGTTCAGCGTCCTGAAGATAGATACTGTCAGAGCGAGGCGTAAATTACAGAACCATCTATAACCACATAAGAATGAAAATGATAATAAAACCGTAAACATAAGGCATTTAACTGCTTACACTGAAACAATGACATCTAAAGAAACTAGTTTAATAAATTAGGAAGGAAAAGTTAGAAAAGAGGATTTTATGTCAAAGAATTTTAAGAGAAGTTTATGTCAAAAATACCAATCTTGAACCTCACTAAAGGGGACACATTTTTTTCTTCAAAGAAAAGAAAAAACTGACAGGAGGCATATAAAGAAACTTCAGCACCGTCTTGGGCAGGTTTTCAATTCCTCTAGTCCAAATTCCCCAGAAATGCAAAACAGGACTATGACTGCTCACTGAGAATCAAAAATCTTATACTTTTTCTCAGTCTTTTACCTCTATAATAATTCAGACAACAAAACAAAAACATGTTTTTATGTATGTCTTCCAAGAAGAAAAGACAGCTTCAATACACAATTAAGGAGCACAGCTAAGTACTAAGAACTACATAACCTGTGACAAACCTGTGCTGTGGTAGCAGTGTGTAAATTCACCGTAGCTTTGAGATTAACACTAATTTCACTTCTCTTTTGTTCACTTTACTTTCACTTTTTCTAAACTATAATGTGCAAGTTCCATGTCCGTCTGCATTTTATGAACCTTTCTATTTCTATGTCTGTCACTATGATTATTAAAATGAGTTTAGCCTGCGTAAGGACTGACGGTTTCATTTGACCACCATCCACCTGAAGGTGTTTTCTGCTGCTGTCTGCCTGATCTGTCACTTCTGCTACCCAAGCATTTTAGTCTCTGTCACTGCAAATAAAATGACAGTGCGAAGAGGAAACGCTTCAGACGAAAACATGCCAGGACTATCAGTGACGAGCACGTAAAACATGAGGAGAAAGGGATCATCATTCTGAGAGCAGGCCCGTGTGAAGCGTTTGCATAAACAGGTGTGGTTGGCAGGGGAGTCGGGCAACACAACATCCTGCTTTTATTTCTTCACTTCCGGGTAACTTAAAATAACAAGGGCAGGCCGTTATTGTGCCTTTCTACTATAAAATTCTTTAATCACCCTGGATGAATCCAAAATTAGTATATTTTAAATGAGTATACAATGCTTACCATTATGGAGTATTATCCAAACAAAAAATAGAATAATACAGGCTTTTAAATGCAAGGTGATTGTAGATTTCATTTTTTTTATGGAGATCAATCTTTACACATTCACGGTCACAATACATGTCATCCGTACTTGTGACATAGATGGATTCACTAAACTGGAAACCAGTAACTCTAAATATTGCGTCAGTAGAACAGAGGCATTGCAGATAGTATAGCAGTACATTCTGCCTTTCCATCAACACGTTATATCAGCACATTGCTCACCTGAAATGGATACAGTCGCTCAATAGGTGCGTTTTCCTCTGGTAAGACCTTTTCCACGCATCTGATCTTGTCGACCTCCACTGTCCCCTTCAGTGCTTTCTTTTTCTACAAATTGCGAGACAAGTGCAGTTACTTGGAAAACGTTCTGCTCGATTGCAGCAAAATGTATCTAGCAGTGCTTTCGTAAACACTTTTTAAATACTGCTTATCTGGCAGAAAATCAGCGTCTTGGACATTTAGCAGTTTGGCTGTCACCGGTGTCCTACATTACATACCCCTTTTTCAACATCATAATCATAGTAGGAGATCTTTTCTTGCGTTAGAATAAATAAACGTTCCTTGAAGTTCAAGGGTGAGGTCTTCTTCTTCTGCTGGGATCGTTTAATAAAGATGTCTTCCAGTATACTGTCTGACATCATCAGGGATGGACTCTATCTGGACCAAAAACGGCAAAGGCAGATGGGAATCCCGCACAATCAGTCACTTATACGTTTGTTGTCATTTCATATTTGAAGTTTCTTGAAGTTGTAAATGTACAGTATTGGCTGGATTTGTTTCTGTGGTTTTGATGTCAGATGTACAGTCATGGTGGAAAACAGAGTAATGCTGATTTTTATTGGTATTATGTGAAATTTTGCATGTGTCATAATAAGGACAGTATTTAATTAAGATTAACTCGATATTTTAGACCTTTGACAAATGATCAAAGCAAGGAGCTGCTCTAGTCATGCCTGTGTCTGAATATATACATCATCGTTCTTTGCTCCCCCAACTCATCTTACCTGCTATTCATGTGATTTCAGGAACAATAATGCAAATGGGGTGATGTTGACTCTGAAAGATAGACATTGTGCTTCAAATTTCATGTATATGCTCAGTTAGTCACTAGACAGTGCATAGTCACTGCTGGCATTCAAATTCCACCCTTTGCTGAACACATTTTCTCTACCAGACATTTTCCAGAATCCTTGCATATGTACGTGCAACACGTGAATTTGTGTTAGCCCAGTATTACATCAGAGTGTGCCCAGGGCTTCATTTTTACACCAATAATCCAGATAATTCACATTGACAGGGAATACTTCACTCCAGATTATGCATGCAATCTATTTTCACATAAGTAAAATCCTAAACAATTAAGTAAATTTGCATAAGACTGTGCTGGACAATTAGCTGAAAAGTCTCCTCATTTACAGTAAGAAGTCAAACCAACTTCTATTCTTTACTCTGAAGATATTCATACTACTACGTTTCAGCAAACAACATAACAATATGCAATATTCATTTGAGTCTCTCTGGAAGCATATTCTGTTTACTCAAACCTGAAAATCAAACAAATAAATGGATAGACATAACAATGACAAAAACAACAACAACAATAATAATAATAATAATAATAATAAAAGTTTGGCCCATGTGGAGCAGATGGTACCCAGATATTCTGTGAAAAGCCACTGCTTGTATCGTATGACATCCAGGCTGATCTGCAGGTAATGCAAAGCAGGGATGGGACTTCTAGCAAGATAGCAAGCATCACGGGTTAAGCTACACCGTCATTTTTACAGTAAGGGATGTTGCCTTAAGCAACGCCATCAGCAGCCACGCTAAGGTCAGACAGTCAGCGCCAACATGCCTGGTTACTCTAGGCGCAATAAAATATCGCATGTCTGCATTAAATACAACAATCCTGCATGAATCAAATGTAATGTTCTGCTGTCACTCATCTACTTTGAGTGCAGGATTTGATTTACCTGTGTAAAGTAACAAAGTAACAAAAGAAGAAAAAAAAAACATAATTAGCCCCATAAAGCACATGACTCATGTTACCACTCAATCACTTAATAGTCAATTAATAGCTTAATATGTACAATATTAGATATATATATAAGAAGTCATTTTTATTTTACAGTCTCTTTGCCTGTTTTTTAACAAAAATAAAGCTGTATAACATTTACATGCATTGTTTCCTACATTTTGCTAATAACTTGTTAATGTGTAAAAGTTGATAATTAATTTAAAATATGCCGGTTTGGTTAGTATAAGCTGCTAGAAGATGGATGGATTGAGGTCTGAGTTCGGATTTAAATCAGGCAAATCCCCCCCTCCCCCATAGAGTTCTAGGACTGGATGAAATTTCATTTTTACTGTTGAAAGGATGTTACTGGAATTATGGCTTTCAAATTACAAAAATCAGTATATAGCTGACTATAGCAATTAAGTGACTGAGCAAATTATCATTATTATTAATTATAAAATTTTGCATAAAAGACTAATATAATAAAACTATATTATAACCCATGAACAAGAAGCTTCCTCTGCATTCTTCAGTCACACATCATCATCACGACATCTGAAATTTTGCTGTTCAAACACTTTGTAAACTATTGCAACATCAGAGAAGCAGGAAGTTCTCACTGGGCTATCAGCCGAGGTTTTCTTTGTGTTTCCCTCACTAAAGTCCATCTTCTGTCCTCTCCTGTGTCAGCAGAAAAGCGCTTCAGTGTTCCAGGTCGTCACTTACAAGTGTGCTTAGTTACTAAAATCAATGCATCAGTAAATTGAGGTGTCTTCTCAACCTACCTCAAAACATCTTTACGGCCAATTCAAATGTTATTTCTTTTTGTATTTTACTGCTGATATTCTGACCCGACACAGATCGCCAGGTGTACACAGAAACATTTATCTGCTCCATATACACTGCAAAATACACGTTAACAGTAAATTGTTACTTCTGTATTTCTGATAGAGTTACAACAGAGCTAGTTCAATTTCAAATAGTTGTAAAAATCATAAAAAATAATTAGAATTAGAACCATAATTTTTTTAAATTATTTTTAGCAGGATGATCTGGCATCCCCCCCCCCCCCTTTTTTGAGTAAAACCACAGGATGTTGCATCACTGCTGCTATCAGTACTGCAGTTAAGAAAAGGCCCCCTTGTACAGCTTTAACCTACCAGACTTTTAGAGCAGAAATGTTGTTCACTTTAACTGAACAGTGGGATGTTCACCCTGACAAATAAGATGTATGGTTTCTCTGTTTATTCTCTGACGGTGCATGAGTGCATTCATGGGTACCAATCTAGGGACACATTTTCTACAAGACTGTCATACAAAACTGATGTATTCTGCCTTAATTGCTGCCTCCATTTGGACCTCAGATGCTGTTCTGCTTGTGTAATTTATAAGAACAAATACATCTTTGTAAGTTTTTCTTTTTTTTGGGAGAAATTTCTATGGCCTTTGTGAGCAGGTGCTCAGTGGTTTAAAATCAATAAAAAGCAATATTCAGTATCATCTAAGTCAATCTATGCGAATGGTGACTGCATGGGCAGCATTGTTGGCTAACTGGCATTTCCCATATTGTATGATTGTGCCTTGAAATGGAGTGACATCCCATCAAGAGTGTAACTCTAACCGTTTTGGACTCTAAGTTGTAGGATAGGTTTTTGATCCCCCGTGACCCAGACCAAGCATTTGGGAGATGGATGGATCTTTCTCAATACATGTTAATACTTAAAATGTATCAATTATCAATGTATGTTCATAATAATACATATAATAGACAATACATTGGAATTTTGTGTTACCGGGAAATGGTTATTAATACTTATGTAATTAGTGTGTGGCTCAGTGGGCTAAGGCTCTGTGCCTGTGATTATAAGCTCATTAGCTCGAGCCCAGCCTTTGCACATCTGCGGGTCCTTCAGCAAGGTCCTTAACCCCCAGCTCCCTGGGTGCTGCTATGGGTGGCTGCCCTTCACAGCCAGCTCGTTTTCACTAACAGAGTGCAAGTGGGGGGGCGGCGTAAAGAGAACTTCCCCATGGGGATCAATAAAGTACCTGTTGGTATTATAATAAACATTAATATTAACAGATATGAAATATCCATCCATCTGTTTTCTATAGCTGCTTACACAGTCCTGGAAGCTCCAGAGTACAGCAGGATCGTGTCACATTAATGAATCCCAACATAACTCTTCCGAAATTTTAACATGTTGCTCCTCAAAATATGCAGAAAAGTCCATATACATAAACACAAGTTTACCGTTTTCTAAGTTAGATGGCATCTCCACCTCATAACATATTTATGGTTTCTGTTGGGCTGGCACCCCCACGCCACAAGGCGAGCATTTCCCTCCTTCATTTTGCTAGTGAAATCGACATGTTATCTGATTTTCAGATAACCCTCTTCTCTCTCAGTGTGTTGCATTTTGCCTGAAGAATTTAGCAACATGCAGAAAACTGCTTGATTCTTTTTGCACTAGGAGGATGAATCCACATGCTTTCACTATTATTTTAGAAAGGAATTTATTCAAATTAGTCACATCAGCAATCATAAATGCACCGTGGTAGTGCATTTAAGATGAACTAAGTTTACAACAATAATGATATTTTGGTTCTATTCATCTCAGAAAAAAAATGCACACACACACACACACACATGAAAAATCTATCAAAGCAAGAAAACCTGTTGAATAGTATGGGTTATCAGGAATACAGAGGCAGCAAAATTGACAATAACAATCTCACAGAGTTAAGACAGCTCTCCCTGATGTCCTCTGCAGAAAACAGTGTTACAAGCGATGTCACTAAATAAAGATCAGCATGTGACTCTACCAAAAACATGCATAAAAGTGCTTGTCAGCTGGATTTTCCTCACACGTCGCATCCTATCATGTCTCACACTGCTCACCACCCATTGGGATCACCAGCACTCACCCGCAGTCACTGTGTCACGCTGGCCTTTCAGCAGGGCAGACTGAACGCTGTCATTCCCCTGATCGCTCTGAAAGCAGGACTCCAAAACCCCACCCTTTCAGCACCGACTTAGTTCCCTTTTTGTTTCCTCCTCTTTTTTGAGGACTGTCTGCAAGCTGCTGCTGGAAATTCAGCTGCAGAACTGTTTGAAAAAGATAGACTGAAAGAAAGAAGAAATAAAGAAGAAAAACTTTACTAGAATAATGAAATGTTAGTGCATACTGAATAAAATGTCAATGTTTTCCTTCTCGGAAAAAAAGAAACTTTAAGAAAAATGTAATTTAAAAATACAGTCAACATCAAAAGGTAATACAGACCTTATATTAGGGCAATACCTGAGATATCAATAGCAAATGACCCCTCGGTCATCCGTACTCGCTTGGTAATTTTTTGATCAGTCATCCAAACCACAAGGCGGCAGTCGTCGTTTGGCAGCTGACATAAACGGCGAGGGTCGCTCTGCAGCCGGAACCCGATGTTTCGGAGCTCTTCCGGGGCGCCGCTTCCTCTTAGCCTCTGCGACGGGACGGCAAACATGGTGAGCTGCTGTAGCCGCAGAATTCAGTTTTTAATCCGTACCAATCTTCAATATCCCTGTTTCTTTTTTTCTTCGTTTTGTCCAGTGTTTGTTGCTTCATGTTCCAATATTATATGTACATTATTATTACTATATTTAGTTTTGTTTTAGACATTCTGCTTTTAAGATGTTTAGTGATTATCGCCGGTTGTGGCACTAAAATAAGTGCGTACCTGTACATTTTTTCCACAAACGTTATTTCATGTTATTTAATTTCAGTCGTTGATTGTTTTATAAGTAGCGAATAATGGACTTTGTCATTATTCATGATATTACCCAAGACACGGACATTTGTACTTATATCAAGTAATAAAGTTTTATAGTGAATATTCAAAGACAAACGTTGCACCGTGACGCTGTTGGGTTTAGAGGGTTTAAATGTATAACTAATTTAAGTTGCCTACATTTTAGTAAATATTATAGCCTGACGTCTAGGTCGGTGTAGCCGGTTTGTAATAGTGACTCGTACTGTGAGTGCAGTATGTGGTTGACTGACAATATTTCGTGTTTTTTTTTTTTTTTTTTTTGTGGTGGGACCATAAAGGTGAACGTGCCGAAGACTCGCAGGACTTTCTGCAAAAAGTGCAAGAAGCACCAGCCTCACAAAGTTACCCAGTACAAAAAGGGCAAGGATTCCCTTTATGCACAGGGTGAGTCCGTCCGTCCCCCCCCCGCCTGCTTATAATGCGCCACAGACCGACACTTAGAGATGCATCTGTTTCATTGTGTTTTTAAAATGGCTCAGCATGCACAACATTCTTTCATTTGCTTCTAGGTAAAAGGAGATATGACCGTAAGCAGAGCGGTTATGGTGGCCAGACAAAGCCTATTTTCCGAAAAAAGGTACGAACTCATGCCTTGCTGCATGTTTGATGATATGCTGAAATAGCAGCGTGAACCTGATGATGTCAGACAGCATATGTCACTATGCTGAATGTGTTTCGACATAAGGTTTGCCACTAGTTTGCGGTGTGATACAGGACATCTCGTAATACATTAAGGTAAAAGAGTGTTTTTGTTTTCAGGCCCTGCTCTTTTAATTTCTTGGTCATTTATGAAGTGTGCATTGACTTTGTAAATAATCCTTTAGTAATTGTATCTTTTTTGTAATTTCCATTTTCTCCTGTGCTTCAACTTTGGTGGTACATCACAATTAACATTGTTTCCCTCAGAAATTCACAAAAAATACATGCAATAAAATCTTTCCTTTATAAATGTTTAAATATTTAGGCATGTTAAATAAGTAAATGCATGACATCACCCTAAATATACAAGACCTGAAGAATATGGAACAAAGTCAGACACCGCAGTCTGTCTTACTCACTCACTCACTCTCTCTCGCTCTCTCTCTCTCTCTCACACACACACACAGTCTTTTTTTAAATAAATGAAACACTCTCAGCAAGGCTTTTATTATCACCTATGTTTCTCCTGTGTAACGTAAGGGTAATTAAATGGTAAATGCTAATATTTTAAATAATCTTATATGCAACTCATTACAATTCAGTTATGATTTAGTATAGATTCCTAAGATTTGGGAGCTGAAAGAATGACAGTTGATGTGGTCATATCATGCTATGTTCTGATCTGTACAGCTTGCATTTCCTTTGTCTGGCTGAGTTTGTTTGTGTTCATTTTTCAACTTGTTATGGGACCAGATCACAGTACCTTTAGTTGTAGTTTCAGTCTTTGTTCCTGGTAGTCTTTTCCCACCAGCTTTACAAAAAAACACCTCTGTTGAATTTTCCATTGTGATCTATTAAGTGGCATTTCACTGTCCTGCTTCTATACCAGCACACAGAGCAACACTGGCAGCTCCATGCCATGACTCGTTAAAAACTGGTTGCTTTGCCTTGGCCTCTAAATCTTTCTCTTCAGTAAAGTAGTTTTTATTAGATCTCGTAAAAGATATTTGGAAGTAATTTGTCATTGACTTATCTATACATGTGATCCCTGTGTTGTAGGCAAAGACCACGAAGAAGATTGTGTTGAGGCTGGAGTGTGTGGAGCCTAACTGCAGGTCCAAGCGGATGCTGGCCATTAAGAGGTGCAAGCACTTTGAACTGGGCGGAGACAAGAAGAGAAAGGTAACATTCCTTTGTACATTTTGTGTTCTAACTCCAGGGCTTCGACTATAAAATTCCATAGTTTGCTCGGGGTCACTTGCTGGATTTAACCATGTTGCCAGTATTTGCCAAGGTCATTTTTGCAGACTGTGGCTTATTGTTGGAATATCAAGACGCTTATTTTAAGTTTGCATTACATGGTCTGAATAGTTTGTCACTTAAATCAATTTTACCTTAATAGTAATGCCAGTATTTATTTTTTCGAAATGTTAATTGTATATATTGTGAATGTATACTTCAAGGCACGGTTTATGTCTCTTTTTTTAAATGGTTACTTGAAATTCACACATTCTCTCCCCCCTCCCCCCTCCCCACCCAGGGCCAAGTTATCCAGTTCTAAAGAGCATTTTGGTTTTCGTCTATTTGTGGATGAAGTCTTTGTCAATAAAAGTTGATGAGTACTTGGGTCTTTGTTGCATCATTGTAAAGTTAATTATTTTTCCTGCTTTATGCATATATTAGGATATCCTGCAGTTCATGTGTTTTATCTCCTTTTACTGTTCCAGTTTGTTACAATTCTATTTTCAATAAGTGAATTAAATTCAAACTAAATGTATCTGATGACATTGCTAAAAGAAGTGTTTGGGGTGTATATATGTTTAAGTAGTGAAACAGATTCCTTTCATCTGCCTACTTTACATTAACTGGTATTTGGTTTCTTTGCATGTAATGCAGTTCTTAACGTATGTGTTGATATCAGTGCTGATAAAATCTATTCTTTCATTGTTATGTACCTATATGGGCTTTTTGTCGACTTTCACCTTAGTATTTTCATGTGGGAACTGCGTCTGCGAAGCAGTGCAGCTTTTTCCTTTTTAAGAATCAATGTTCTGACTCTGAATAGATATTTCTTTAATAATAGTAATAATTATAGTTAAATGACTTCTCTAGTGGAAAGCTTCAAGGCTGTAGTGAATCAGTTTTAGTATATTTAAAGAAAAATCAATATCAATACAGCAATCAATACTGCACCTCATGAAGTTTTACAAAATGGATTATAAACAATGTGGTGACCTTCAGTTACACTTATACCGGCAGTAATTCCAGTGTTGCCCTTTTTATCCCAAGCTGTGGGGTCCTAATGATTGGTGATTTAGCTTTAATTAGATTGTCTTGTGTTATTAACGCTTTATAGTAATTTTTATGCTATGGCTGTGGGCTCCTTGAGACTGGTGGATGGAAAAATCAATGAGAAATACCAGTAGCATAGATTTTTTTTCCCCTGTATAATTTTAGGTGCCTCCAGTTGTAAATGACAAATTAACATCTGTGACTGTTCCATTTACAATCTAAAATATCGGGATAATACTTTTTAAAATTCTGAAGTCCCAATAATTCCTAAGTTCTTTTATTCTATGGTCTAATCCACCAGGTCACCTGAATCATGTGTCAGATATCACTGGAGCTTTTCTTTCCTCTCCTTATTGGCCAAGGATGTCATCTGAGATCTGTATATTCCAGTTAGCAGTGACAGTGAATCGGAGATATGCATCTTCCAGTTAGCAGTGACAGTGAACTTTTTGCAGGTGAACAGATATTAACCTAAAGCTAGGTTACTCTGATAATCCATTTTATTGCTTTTATTCTTCCTTTTTACCTTCAGCTTTTCTGTGCATTACAGGCTTCTCAAATTCGCTCGGTCCTCTCCAGTTATGTGAGGAAAAAAATACAGTACACTTCTATCCTGATACAGTCTTTGCATTCACAAGGAGTCGGAGAAAACATCATTTTCTGATCTATTTTGATACGTGTTTGTTTTTGATGACTGCTTCTGTTGATTGTTGTTCCATGGAGTCACAATACCCTCTGTCTTTACCATCAGCACTAAAGTTGGTTGCTGTTGATCTATTTTTTTCTTTGTGTTTGATTGCAGTCCAAACTTCTCAGTCTAACGTATCACCATATCATGAGGGATTCCTACTTGTGTAAAAAAATAACATGTCAAGTGTTCAAATGCAGTTGTTCTCTACTGACTATTTTTAATTTTTTCCTGTTGATTATTAAGCAAAAATGGTTAAAGAAAATGACCTTTAAATTAAATGTTTCAACAGTGCCGCCACTATAAAAAAAAAAACCACATTTTCAATATTATGATTTCAACATCTTTTTCTTGAAGGCACAACATATTTTTATTTCATGATATCTTCATCAAAAGCTGTAATTGATATATATATATATATATATATATATATATTGTATATATGATATGATATACATATTCTTGCAAGTAGATGGTGATATTTCATTTTGAAAGATAAATGTTCAGCAGTTTGTTAATGGCTATCCTAAATTTTACTTTGTTTCTCTGCATCTTTTAAATGTCGGTCCCTATGAG